AAATAAGATATGAAATAGTATATTAAGTGAGCACGAATTTGATTTATGTCTGTACAAAAAGATCTAACCCGGGGTAAGCCACTTTCCAAAAATAAGTTTTATGTATTTATGTTTTATGTAATGTTTGTCTATGTTTGAAAGAATGTTGGAAGAGAACTAATGAAACTATATAGAATGAATATATATAATTTAAGGCAAAAGAAATACAATTAAATAGAAGGAAAGGGGGCAATAAAGAGAAGTTGGGAAAAGATATGAAGTTGAACAGATAAGATAAATATACATATTAAATTGTGTTTGTATAGAAATATGATAATTTGGAATTATCTTTTTTAAGTAAGATGTTTTATTTGTTTTTTAGAAAAGATATTTTATGTTACTACATCCTGTTTTGTTTGTTTGTGTATTGTTTTTAAAAGATTAATAAAATTTGTTAAAAAAAACATTTGCTAACCAATTCTTGAACCCAACTCATCTGCCTGGAACCCGCATTGCATATCAGACATTAATACAATTGAGTGAGTCCAGAGATATTTCATGAGAAGAGACCTCCACTCCTCTACTTGCAACAAAATTCATTATGCCACCAGACTTGAAAATTTAGGTTTAGACAACTTACAACTATGCAGCCTTCAGTCTAATCTAAGTATAGTGTATAAAATCATACATTGCAATGTCCCACCTGTCAATGAATACTTCAGCTTCAACTAAAACAACACAAGAGCAAACAATAGATACAAACTCAAGGTTAAGCGCACCAAACTTGATTGCAGGAAATACGACTTCAGCAACAGAGTGGTCACTGTCTGGAATACTCTACCTGACTGTGGTTTCTTCCCCAAACCCACAAATCTTTAACCTTAGACTGTCTATTATTGACCTCACCCCTTTCCTAAGAAGTCTGTAAGGGGCCTGCATAAGAGCACCAACATGCCTACCATCCCTGTCCTAATATTTCCCTTTTGTTTGTATCCATTTCATGTATTAATAATCATGTTTATACTTATATCTGTTATCTACTACATGCTTGACAAAATAAAAAAAAGTAAAATAATAAATAAATGGTGGTGCAATGGTTAAAGTGCAGTACACAGGCTACTTTTCCTAAATGGCGGCTGCCTGTAATTTGGCAGTTTAAATCACCTGGCTCTAGGTTAACTCAGCCTTCCATCCTTCCAAGGTGGGTAAAATTAGGACCCAATTTGTTAGGGCCAAGAGGCTGATGGCTGACCCTGTAAATCGCTTAGAGAGGACTGTAAAGCACTATGAAATGGTATATCAGTCTAAATGCTATCACTATTACTATCTTGACAAAACTACACATTTTATTATTGCCAGTCATGTCATCTTCTGTCCTATGTTCTCAAGCACTTTCCTCCAATCTGGCACCTTATCATGTTCTCAGTCCTTTTGAATCAAGTGGCTTCATAAACCCATACATTAGATTAAACTGAATTAAATTGAATTTCTGACCTGGTTGACTTTTGCTGGCTAGAAATGATTAAGCTGATGAATGGCCCCCAGGTAGAAAAGCCCTTTCAGTTTGTCAGAGGGTGGAACTCTTCCTGTTGGGGATTCTCCAAAGAAGCTCACTCCTCTGACCTAGAATTAGCCCAGGATTAACAAGTGATTGGTGGGAAGCCAGACTTGGTGGGATAAATGACAGACCTTTTCTACAGATAATGTAATGCAAGCATGAAGGATGGTGTTATAAATCATCAGAATAATGAGATGGGAAGATGAATTTGGTCCAGAAATTAAACAGAAGAACCTAGCACAAGTTCAGTCCATACTGGTTTCTTTTCAATGGGCACCTTGCCTTCAGGAACATGGAGAAAAGGTTGACTCCCTTGGGTGACAAGCTGTTCTTTACCAGTGAAGAGTCAGAGGGCTTGAGAAGGGGGGTAGGCAGATTCAATCATCTATGAGAATCAGTGTCTTCTAACTAGGAGGGTCCTGCATCAATAGAGATTGGGTGGGATTTAAGTCTGCCCTATGTTCAAAACTGCCTTTTTCATGTTGCCCTGAAAAAAAAGGACAATCAAAAAAACACTTACAGAGAATAGGTATCCCAATTACCAGGAGGCTCATGTAAAGGAAGCTGTAGAACTTTAGTAAGGGAGAGAGGCAGGTTTCCACCAATAATGAGATCTCCAGGTCTATAATAGTCTTTTTGTTCTTGGAAAGGTCTCCTGCAGAAGCAATTTGGCCTCAGGTCCATTTGGACAGCTGCAAGCAAGGTCCACAGCAACACTAAAAGCCAAATCATTGGCCACAGAAAGAGACCTTCTTCTAGATCAAGCCAACACAGAATGTTGCAGGGAAAGTGATACTCTGGTGACTTCAGAGGACTAAGTGTAGATTTCAATCTTCACAAAAACATTCATCTAAGCTACAACTATAAAAGGATCTGGCAATAGTATTTGGAGCTTGTAGATAAACATGTTTTCACCATAACCTCTTTAGGCTTAAAGCGGATTTAATCTGTGGAAATCCACTGAGATGAAGTAAGAATTGCTAGTGTTTGAAGAATCCCGGGAGAGATTAATGTCCGTGTTATCCCCAAAGCTCTGGAGCCTGTGCCATAAGGGAAACTTATTTGTGAACCCACAATTGTGTCTGTCAGTTTGTCAATTGGGCAACTGTGATTAGAGAGTGATGCAGTTTTAGAATTGGATCAGAATTGGGGGTCACCTAGTCTGATTCCCTTAATGTACATGTGAGGAAAACTCTTAAATATCTGAGATCTCTTTGGAATTGACAGTTTCTGTTGCCGCCACCAAACTCTTTCAAGATTAAGAAATGCCCTGGGACTTCCTGGAATAATTCAACATGGCCTTTATTTTAGTGGTGTTTCCTTGATTGGCCAATGGAGATGTGTTTCAGCTATGGGGTACCTGGATGGTTTTTATTAATCACATGCTTGCTTCTTTTCTTAATGACTTAGATGCATTCTGCCCAATCTCCCTATCACTTGAATGGGTCATTAATATTTTAAACAAGTATTTCAAAATGAATCATTCTGCCTGATGGAGGTTTTCTTGACAGGATGCAGAGCCTCTTTCATGTACAACATTCTGCTTTACATTATTCTTCAGTCCCCATCCTTTGTGCTTTGAACTAGCTTCCTTGAGTGACAAGCCTAATACCCAACCATCACCCTACCAGACAAATCCTCTTTTTGCAGTGTCCCAGAGATATGACAGATGCCCAATTGTACATCTTCTGGTCTGGACAGTTTCCCTCAGATGGATTAAAGTTTCAGATGTAGAAGAGTAGAATCAAAAAGGAATGAACAAAGAGAAGAGATGAAGTGCTGAGCAAGAGACCAGAAGGAGGGAAACAAGATGACTTCATGGGAGCTTTTCCATCATGAGGAAGTGGCGGAATAAAAATAGCCAAAGACCAAGAATCAGATAAACAGGTAAATTAAAAGATAGACTGCCCTGATGAAAAGAGGCAACAGGGATGAAGGCAGCCACTGAGTAAAGCAGGGAAAGAAACTAATTGATTTTCCCTTCAGAATCAGACTGAGAAAAATGTTGGTCCAGCTATTTTTTCAGATGGAGTTGAGAGCCGGAAGAGCAGAGTGAAGAAAGACCTTCAGGAACAAAGGAAAAAAAGAGACAATAGAAATTAAAGACAGACCAGTAAGAGAAAAAAATAAAATATATATATAAAAAGCAGACTGAACTCTACAGAAAAAGGAGAGTGGCTCCTTAGAGAGTGACAGTGATCAACTAGAATTAAGACAGTAGAAATATAGAAGTCAGCAATAAATAAATTTATTGATTTTCTATTAAGGTTATAGGGAGCAAAAATGTATCTTATTTAAACTGCAGAATTAAAATAGTCATTTGAATGAAAAAGTTGGTAGGGAACTCAGCAAAGCCTCAGGGAACAATGCAAATAAACATGCTTCAAAACAACCCAACCTAATGAAACCAGCCCAACATATTTAAACATATACTTTTGATTTTTAAAGAAAGAGTGGAAGCATAGTTCACATTAGCATCAAATCATTTTTCCATGTTGCTCTTGAGGCCTCATTGGGTGAATTGAAATTAATGAAAACTAAAAGTGTGGGTGATTGATACATAATTTCTAATTATTCACATCATCAATTCTTTAATGAACTAATTAGAGATTTTTGTGTCCCATTATATTTTGTCTACAATTAAGATCAGGTCTCAGTAGGATAATATAACATTTGGGGAGAAAGATACAAGATAGGAGACCAGCCCCAGAGGCCAGGATGGAGAAGATCTCCACAGCCACCATGGATTTTCCTTTGGTGTTCAGGTAGGTGGGAAGGAAAGCAATCCAAACACTGCAAAAAACCAGCATGCTGAAAGTAATGAACTTGGCTTCGTTAAAACTGTCAGGCAATTTCCTAGCTAGAAAGGCCATTAAAAAGCTGATGATGGCCAGGAAACCCAGGTATGCGAGGACAGTGTAAAACATTGAAGTTGAGCCTTCCTTGCATTCCAAGATTGTCTCCCCTACCAAGGAGTGGAAGTCCAAGTTGGGATATGGGGGAGAAGTTGCCAGCCAAATGGCACAAAGAATTGCTTGGACCAGGGGACAGGCTAAGACAATGGAGTTAGTCAGTGGTTTTCCTAAGAGTTTCCTTGTCTTGTTCCCTGGTTTGGTGGCCATGAAGGCCAGAACCACCATGACAGTTTTCGCCAAGACAGAGGAAACTGCGAGGGAAAAGAGAATGGCAAAGGCAGATTGTTGGAAAAGACAAGTGAGGTTTCTGGGTCTTCCAATAAAAAGGAAGGCGCAGAGGAAGCAAAGCAGGAGGGAGACCAGGAGGATGTAAGTGAGATATCGGTTGTTGGCCTTGATGATTGGTGTATCATGATGTTTAAGGAAAATTGCCAGGACTCCCAATGTGATCATGGAGAAAGAAAGACTGAGAGAAGTTAAACCATATCCCAGGGGCTCTTGATAGGCAAGGAAGTGGATCTTCTTGGCAATGCAGTGGTCCTTGTCATTGTTGGGGTATTGGTTTTCTGGACAGGGATCACAGGAAGCTGCATCTGAAATCAAAAATACTTTGCATGTCATGGAATATCAGAAAGAACAAAACATCCATCAATATTGATTATACTAGATATAGCTTTGTCTGAGACAATGACGTTTCCACCTTTTTTGCATTTTGCATTTTGCCTTGACTCATTCAGATAATTTTTCTTTTTCAGGGAAGGGCAGGCAACTTTGTCAGATGTACCTCCCTCTTCTCCAACAGGTTTGTCTATCTCCTGGGAGACTGATAGCGCTGACAGAATAACACAGTTGAAAAGCATGAATCTGTTGAAGAAGCTCTAGATTCTCTGTTGAAGAATCTATCAAAAATGACCATAAAATTGATATTTTTTTCTACTGAATGGTTTCCCTGACCCTGGAAGATCTACATTGAAAGTGTGTTTTACCTGTCTGATTAGAAATGGTCCCTTCTGGACAAGGGGAACATTGGTAGCAGCAAACCTGCTGGCCCTCTGGAACTCTTCTCCTCTGTCCTGCCTGGCACCTCTTCTTGCCACACCTGGCAAAGGGCACCTTCTAAAAGAGAAAAGAGAAATTCTGTAGATGTCTTCGGCAGTGCTTCACTTATTCATTTCTTCATATTTCTCTTTGCGTCTTTAGAATATCTTCAAAAGCAATGGTTAACTCAAGTGTAACACAAACCAGGAAAAGCTCCAGGGAGATTATGTCTAGTGCCAATCTGAACCATTATTGGATTCTGGGGATTGGAAATGTGGCTTGACCTGCAAAAGAACAGTAATGGAGATCCAACTGAATGGGAATGGTCCATGGAAACCACTCTTGGCTGGTCTAACTGCATCCTCGGTTTCAGATAGAATTTCTTCCTGATCTCAAAACTTTTTTTTAATAAAGTTTTATTTGGGTTTTCACACATACAAAATACAAGTAAAACATCTTTTTTGAAAATAGCATGGTCCCAGGTTGAACTTCTTTATACAGACACAAAACTCAATTTCATGCTCCTTTTTATGTTCTATTCCATATCTTATACTATTCTACATTTTCTATATAGCTTTTCCCCTCTTTTAATTTTCTCAATTTTATTTTGATTATCTCATCTCAATTCAAATATTTATATTTTTTCCCGTTATGTTTCAATTTCATATTATCTTTTCTCATTAAACAAATTTTCTCCTGTAGTTACTAATTGGAGTATGACAATTTTACATCTTTTAATTACATCCATTCAACTCTTATTTCAACTTCAATATATACCTTAAGTTTATGACCTTCAATATAATACATAATATATAACTTCCAATTGAATTCTGCTTGGTACATTCTTATAATACAAACTATATTCTTTTTTTAAAAAAGGTTATAAATATATGTAATTATAAACCCTCATTCCATTCCAATTCAGTTCTATCATTAATAATCATTAAAATCTTAACATCTTTAACATTTATTTTCAATTAAATGTCATACTTTCTTAAAGACACATATAATCTCCATAATTAATTTTTTCCTTATTTCTCTTCACATATGTTTTGTAAATCATTAAATATTCATTTTGTTACATTTATTTATTGACAAGCATTCCACTGAATTACGATAGCTATTTTATCAAACATTTTAATCATTCATCGTTTCATATTTTCTAAAATTATTTCTGTTTTTAGTATAGCAGTACTATCTTATGTACCTTTGCAGAATCCCTTTTTCCATTAAATTTTCACCCGTTATCTCTAAATAGACCCTGTTTATATTTTGCTTCTGTCCTTTATAACTTCTTTTCCTTTCTTTCTTCCCTCTCATCTTCTCCCTCCCCTTTTTACCCCTTGTCTCTCTACATCTAACTCTCTCTTCTGCATTTCTCTCTTCTGTTGCTTTCTGATTTTATACTTATTTTTCACTCTGTTTTTTTTTTGGGGGGGGGAGTTGTTTTTCCCCAATCTTAAACTTTCCATTCTCTTTCCCCCCCTTTCCTTCCCCCCACACCTAAGATTACTTGTTCATTAAAGATGGCTTCTTCTTTGTCGCAATCTTCTTGTTCTGCAGGCATTTCTTGTTGTTTCTCATAATTCCAAGCCTCAATTTCTAAAAACTGAAATACGAAGCCAAAAGAACCCCTCCCTTCTTGTGCATCTTCTTTGTACTTTTTAAGTTCCATTTTCAGTTCTTCTAAAAGTGGAGCCATTTTAAACAGTTTTAAACAACCACCCGATTGATTTTAGTCATTCAAATACAATAACCAAAAATCCAGAAATCATCAAGTAATCCAAATAGTCCCAAATTATTTCTTCTTATTTCTTTTTCCACTTTCTCTTCCTGTGGTTTTTGTTGCGATAATTCAGTTAAAATGCATCTTTTGGAAGTCTTGTTGAGATTTTGCTGTAAGTTCTTTTTTAATTCCAGGCAGTCTCCTCCCTTCCAGATCCTGCCCTTTCATTCTTTTTCTCTGCTTTTCTGTTTTCAAAAGCTTTTGATTATCCAGAAATATTTATTATCCCTTTGACTTTTTTATTTTCAGCATAAAATGCCTAATTAATGTCAAAGTGGATTTTTTTCTAATTTCATGCTTAAGTCTCTTAGCTGTCAGTATAGGAAAAGGAGAAAGAAAAAACCAAATATTTTCCCTTTTCTCTCTCCTTCGCAGCTTAAAAATCTTCTTAGGGAACAATGTTATTGGGTTTTTTTTAATAGTTTCAATTCCAGGATACCTTATTTGTTGCTTTTGCTGTTTGACCCAGTCAACCAAAACTTTCTCTTCTTATCTTCCTCCTGCACAATCTTTTCTGGTCAAGTTCTTCTTTGTGGTGGCCATTTCTGACCACTGCTACAATCGCCTTCAGAAAAGGGAGTAATGGTCATCTGGGGAGGAGAGATGTGGCTCTCCTCAACCCTGCAGGCAATCTCCCCCCTCTTCACCCCCTCTAGGGAGTGGCTTAGCCCCGAAACCAGCTGGCTTGGGGCACTCCAGCGGTGACCATGGATCGAAGCCTCGCAGAGATGAGGTTTCAGTCTGTCGCCAAAGAGGCTCAAACCAGAAGTTCCTGATGTCAAAACTTTTTGATCTGTCATAAATCAGACCTCAAACTTGTTACATGCAAAACAACTTTTTCATCAAACGATTTCCAATTTTTTTTATTCGGTAACCTATTTTCCAGTAAGAGATAAATTTTGAATCCCCAGAAGAGAGTGACACTTTTTCTGGATTTATTTTACCTTCTAGCTCACCTTTTTTGCCCAGACAATTGCATCAGAGTTGATGGTGAAATCCTGTCCTGCAGGAGCTCCAGGATCTGTTTGTCCAACTTTCACAGAGACAAAAGATTCATTGGGGAAGAGAACCCAGTTGAGAAGATCGTAACGAGCAGATCCCAGTCCATTTTCTGAGAAGGATATTTCATCTCCAGCACTGTTGTTGAAGTGGACATTCCTCAAATGGGGAAGAATCTGAAAGAAAAGAGACCTTCAGAAATTGCTAATGCTTTCCATACCTCTAAGAATTTGTTTTCCACACAGTGCCTGCCCTAATTTGTGACTTCAGTGGACATAAAGATCCATTCTTTATGCTTTGATGCAGAAAAAATCTCCACAATTTCATAAATGTCACACTACGTTGAACACTGTTGTGTGCTAAAGTTGACAGAGGCTGGTTTCATACAACAAGCAGTTCCGTGCAAGAAATGGCAAATGAGTGTCAGGATTTAGAGGTTTAGAGTTGGGTTAGTGGCAGGGTTCCAAGTAACACACCCAACACAATCAAAATGCCGAGGCAGGCATATTCCTCAAAGTACAGATTTATTAGGCATGTCATATTGGCACTTCTGATGAAAACTTGACTCTAAACTCCCATGGTTTTCCCCCATATTAAAAGTAATGTTTTCCTTTCCCTTCCCCATGCAGTCGATCACATGGTCCAATCAGGTGTCCATTGATTCCATTCTCCTGGTGAGAAAGTCCTTGGTTCCCAGAGGAAAGAATTTTGTTTACGCTACAGATCATCAGCTATCTCTACCTCCCCCTTCCTGTTCCCACAGCTCTGCCCGGCTCTGCTGTGGCAGCTCTGAAGGTGCTAAAGAAAATGGCTTCAGAGTTGACAATGGGATCACACAACATGCTCAGCCATAGAAACATAAACCAGGGTTACAATGAATTGAGTCAAGTGTCTATCTACAGCTAGATTCAGGGTACAACAGGACGGAAACTGAGTTGGTTCTGCAAATATGTCTACTAGGACTTCAGTTGACCTGTTGAAGAATCTGGCTGAATTTTCATCTTGCTATGGCTAGTCTAGTGAAGAGAAGGACCTGGGGAGACAGGATAATAATCTTGCAGTATTTGAGTGGCTGCTACAGAGAGGAAGGAGTCAAGCTATTTTCCAAAGTACCTGAAGGCTAAACAGGAATAATAGATAGAAATTTAATAAGGAGAGATCCAACCTTGAAATAAGGATAAACTTTCTGACAGTGAGAACAATCAACCAATGGAACAGAAGTTGCCTTTGGAAGTTGTGGGAGCTTCATCACTTGAGACTTTCAAGGAAGAGATTGCACTGCCATTTGTCAGAAATGGTGTAGGGTCTCCTGCTTGGATAGGAGGTCGGACTAGAATTCCAAGCAAAAACCACTAGATAACCAATCATATAAGGATGTAGAGAGTAAAGAGAAGAAAGAAAAGAAAAAGAACAACAGGGTGAACTTGAAGTACTAATACATGAGGCCAAGTATAATATACTTGCCATTACTTAAACACATGACTGGAATATACTGATGGATGGATGGATACAAACTATTCCAAAGAAACAGACCTAACAAAAGAGGAAGTGGAGTTGCATTATATGTTAAAGATCACTTTGTCTGTGCAGAGAGGGTACACAACAAAGGATTAAAGCCTTCTAGAATGCTTATGGGTCAGCATAAAAGGAAAAATGTTTTAGACTTTAAAAGAACTGATTTTAACAAACTGAGAGTCTGGGAAAGATCCCATGGATGAAAATCTTAAAGGACAAATCAACTCAAGAAGCAAGGAAAACTGAAAAATTCAGAGTAACTCTGAAAAATACATATAACAATACCTCTTTTGTTATAAATGCCCAGTCTAGTTCAATACCACTAAAAAAGAAAACCAAGAAAAATCTAGCATGGTTACACAAAGAACTCTCAGATTAATTGAAGGGAAAAAAGACAAGTACAAAAAATGAAAAGGAAAGATAACTAAGGCAGAATACCAACGAATAGCTCAAACTTGCAAAGTTGAAATTAGGAAAGCTAAGGCTTTGAATGAAATAAGACTTGCAACAAATGTCCAAAGCAATAAAAAAAGTTTCTTTCAACACATAAAAAAAACAAAACAAAAGTCAAACAAACAATTGGTCCACTGAAGGGAGAAGATGGCAAAGAGGTAACAAGCAGCAAGGAGAAAGTGGAACTGCTTAATTCATTTTGTGCATCAAAATTAGTAGATCAGCAAAATGTTGTGGACATAGTATTCTTCAGTACACTTCAGATTCCAAAAAAAAATATTTGAAAAAGTAGACCACAACCTACTTCTTGGCAAGCTAGTAAAATGTGAGATAGAAAGCATGACCAACAGATGGGTTTTTACTTGTTGACAAATGTAGTCCTCCATGGAACTACATCTACATGGAGGGAATAACATTGTGTGGCAGTAGCCTAAAAAGCAAATGCAATCCTACCTTTCATTAATAGAGGTATAGATGACGCCATAGCTACTGCCTTACATTCTGTAATGGGCCATCTGGAGAAAACGGGAAACTATGTCAGGATGCTTTTCATTGACTGCAGCTCAGCCTTAAATACTATCCTGCCAAGCATCTTTATCGAAAAGCTGACTGACTTGGATTTTCCCTCTTCCCTCTGCAATTGGATCAAATCCTTTTGGCAGGACCGATCACAAACAGTGAGGGCTGCGTCTGTCACATCCACCTCCCTGAAGCTTAGCACTGGCTTCCCACAGGGCTTTGTGCTCAGTCCCTACCTGTACACACTGTACACACATGAATGTGTATCATCTGACCCATCCACCATGATCATTATGTTTGCAGATGATACTACCATATTGGTTCTCATTACAGGTGGAGACGAAACAGCATACAAGGGGGGAGGTTAAAAAATTATCCTCATGTTGCCTAGAAAACAACCTGCACCTGAACATCAGCAAGATAAAGGAGATGGTGTTCAGACTTCCGGAAGAAGAGAGAGGAACCCACCCCACTTTACACTGAGGGGAGCTGTGTGGAGAGAGTTTCCTTCTTTAAATTCCTGGGAGTCCATCTCAGCGAAAATCTTACCTGGAAAATCAACACAACCCAGGTGGCCAGAAAGGCCAAACAGAGACTCCATTTCCTTAGGGTCTTGTGAAAGAATAAAGTGGAACAACAACTGATGACCTCATTTTACCAGTCCACAATAGAAAGCGTCCTCACATATAGCATGATGGTGTGGTATGCTGGCTTGACAGCCATGGAAAGAAAAACATTAAAGGGTGGTGAGCACAGCACAAATCATTGTGGGCTGTTGTCTGATACCACTAGATGAAATTGCTAGGGCTCGCTGCCTTAGAATGAACAGAAAATAACTTCATGTCTAGTATGATAGACTTGCAGGGCCGGCGCGTTGTGCAACAAGGTCACACAGTGTAATAAGATTGGGACTGGGTTAGGGACTTCTGTCCTCACTGTGAGTTGTGTTAGGTGTGTGCGTGCACGAAGGGAGGCTCAGCCAATCTCATTGTACACATGTTGTACCCTGACAACAACAACAACAATAATAATAACAACAACAACAATAATGTAGCAGTGTTCCAATATTTGAGGGACTGGATTAACAAAACACAGAGATTACCTGCCAGGACTGGACATTTGGGTTCTCCTTTCCAAGCCTCATTATGGCTGGTTGCCCTCTGGATCCATGCATTCCATGTAATGCATGTGCCACAGCATAAATGGCATTGTAGATATTGTAACTTTCACCTTCCATGCTTGTTCCAAACAAGTAGGATGGCAGATCCTGTATATTCTCCTTTCCTGTACATGGTTTTGTTCCCCTTGGAGGGGTCCTGCCTGGTTTGTAGAACTTGCAGCCAAAGATCAGTTCCCACCATAGACAGAGATAAGAGTCCCCTTGTGGGTTTAAAGGGTCTAAAGACATGAGAAAATGGCTGAATTCTGAGACATCCCCAGTGTGATCCTTAAAATGCAAGGCCCCATGGTAAGGCTGTATAAGTGGCAATACATATTGAATGCTCATCACATTAAATTTCCAATTGGATGTAAAGATCCAAACTTTCAGTAATGATGCATGTGTTTCTTCAGCAAACCCAACTATCTGAAAATTTGCAAAAGCACTGAGTTCTCCAAAAACAATAATCACTTCACCTTTAGACCAAGCGTTGAAAAGATGATATAATTTTTTATGTCTATCATTGTTAAAAGCAAATTTTATTACTTCAGTGAAGGCCAGGCAAATCTCCTTCTCTTTCAGCTTTGGTATCAGAGATGAGACGAAATGTTCCCCACCATCATCTTCATTAGCGATCAGCCCAACCCAGTTCCACTGGAAATGCAGGAGCAGCTGGATTAAACCCTCATACTGAGCAGATTCCTTGGGATTGATCCGGAAGAAGGAAGGATAAACTCTTCTGTCTCCTTGGCTGAACTCAAAGCCAACACCAAGCTGGAGAAAGTGAAAATCCTCTTTCAAAAACAAAGTTAAAGTTTTAGGGTGATTTTAGGGTTCCCCATTGTGTAGTTAATGCCCCACCAGTCAGGCTGACTCACAAGCTTCACCTTCCTCCCTTCTTAGGAAGAGCCACCAGTTACCTGTTTTACCTAGTTGTGATAGGTCAGAAGTCAAAGGAAGAAAACATCTACCTGATACAGAGAATAAACTGCACTGAAAGGGGCAGAAAGATAATCAACTTCTGTGAAAGTCAGGAAGGAATTCCTCTTGGCAAATACAGCTTTTAGAATTCTATTGGTATCTTTTTGCAGATATATAAAACTGTATCGTGATGTATAAAATAGAAAAAATAATTTTAGGATGGATTATCTAAGTCATATACCCCTGGTTTGTCCACCACCCCACACCACCTTTCTGTTCATCCTTGGATATAGTGTGTACTTCAATTGTTCATGTGCTCCATACTGTGTCCAGTGAAGCCTTCTTACCTGTGGTACCTTGAAGATGCTGAAGATGGAGGTCATCTGCCTTGAGGATTTGGAGTTGTGACCTCCAATGACAGAGAGTAGAGTGTCCTGCCTGTCACATTTGTAACCTGGAACCATT